AGGAGAGACGGGATAATACATTAAGCGAGGGTAGTAGTAGCATTACTGTTACGTTTTCGGTATGTACCGAGGTTAACCAGTAGATGGTAGTACTGTTATATGATTGATGATTAGAGATCGTATAAAGTGGTTGTATTTGTGTTAACAGAACATATCTCCATGCATGTTCTTATTGTTTTAGTTATTTATATAATATTATTTCCTTCCTTAGACCACATGCACACCCTGTCTACAACTAAGTCATTCCACCTGTAACAGCCAATGGCTAGCCTGTGTTAATTCCAGTGCAATACTGTACTGCCTAATTGAATGCAGTAAAGTCTGGAACTGCATCTGCCTTCCCTGGTGTTCTTACTGATGCCACCAGAGAGGTGCCACTTTATCTGTACCTTCCTCATACAGTAATAGCTTCTAACACTTTAATAAACATCAAGTCCAATGAGCTCGACAGGCTACGCTGCTTACTTAAAACACACAAAACAATACAATAAGGACACAATTAAAACGTAGGGTCCCCCCTGAGGCTCAAGACCCTCCCCCGGGGATGGAACGTTCACACAGCTCCGTATCTACAACACCACACGGAAAGGGAATTCCACCGCCGCTCCGTCACTTTGAGGACGCTGCTGCTCACGTCTATTGAATACCCCGGATTAAGCAGCGGTCATGCACTACTAACACCCCCCATCCTAATTGTCCTCACCATACCACACTGGAATCTGTCCCTGCAGCCTACTATCTGGCTTCACCGCCGGCAGTCCTAAACGGCATACGAGCAGCACCTCCCTCCCGGAACCAACGAGTGCTGTGCCTAACAGGTGAGCTCTCATCAAGCACGGCTATCACTCCCTCTCTCCCCTGCATTCTCTGTTCTCCCTCTTTTAACCCCACATCCTCAACAGCCCAGGTGTAGCCACTTAATTAACTACTACCTTCCACGCCAATCCCTCCCCCCTCCACACGCACACATATCATTACAATACAAATCGGAAGCCAAATGAAGTTCTGAAGGTAAGCCTCGCTAAATGAATCCCCCTACAGGCGCAATCGCATCATTGCATTTGGCTGCGCAGCATTTAAGGTGGACCGAAAAATCCGAATAAGGAGAATATGGAGCCAACTTCAGCCTCGTCGAGCAGAGACAACATACAGAACGGCGAGTGGAAACGCACTGAACGGCTTTGTCTGTAAACTTAACTCATTATAACCAACGGGTAATTACTAAAAGACTATCTCAAATGGTGGAATGTAATAGTTTCTTGTCCATCAATTTTCTAAAGATTGTCTTGTTATTTGATTGTGCAAACTGCAAATAGCCTTATAGTTACTGTAATAGCATTCACAATTCCAGGGTTGCCAACTGTTACGCATGTGCCGTGACTCATGCTTTCAGAATCACACAGGACTCTCACTTAAGAAATCTTACAGTAAATCTATTATTCCACTGTAAACCTAAAATTAGCTACAGTGGTGTGAAAAAGTGTTTGCCCCCTTCCTGATTTCTTATTTTTTTGTATGTTTGTCACACGTAAATGTTTCAGATCATCAAACAAATTTAAATATTAGACAAAGATGACACAAGTAAACACAAAATGCAGTTTTTAAATGAAGGTGTTCATTATTAAGGGGAAAAAAAAATCCAAACCTACATGGCCCTGTGTGAAAAAGTGATTGCCCCCACTGTTAAACATAAATGACCTGTGATGTATCACATCTTTGGAAAGCTGAGTTCAATTTCTCTAGCCACACCCAGGCCTAATTACGGCCACACCTGTTTTCAATGAAGAAATCACTTAAACAGGACCTGCGTGACAAAGTGGAGTAGACCAAAAGATCCTCAAAAACCAGACATCATGCCGCGATCCAAGGAAATTGAGGAACAAATAAAAAACAAAGCAATTGAGATCTATCAGTCTTGAAAAGGTTATAAAGCTATTTCTAAAGCTTTGGGACTCCAACAAACCACAGTGAAAGCCATTATCCACAAATGGTGAAAACATGGAACAGTGGTGAACCTTCCCAGGAGTGCCCGGCCGACCAAAATTACCCCAAGAGCACAGCGATGACTCATCCAAGAGGTCACAAAAGACCCCAGAATGACATCCAAAGACCTGCAGGCCTCACTTGCCTCAGTTAAGGTCAGTGTTCATGACTCCACCATAAGAAAGAGACTGGGCAAGAATGACCTGCATGGCAGAGTTCCAAGACAAAAACCACTGCTGAGCAAAAGGGACATAAAGGCTCATCTCAGTTTTGCCAGAAAACATCTTGATGATCCCCAAGACTTTTGGGAAAATACTCTGTGGACTGACAAGACAAAAGTTGAAGTTGGAAGGTGTGTGTCCCATTACATCTGGCGTAAAACTAACACAGCATTTCAGAAAAGGAACATCATATGAACAGTAAAATATAGTGGTGGTAGTGTGATGGTCTGGGGCTGATTTGCTGCCTCAGGACCTGGAAGACTTGCTGTGGTAAATGGAACCATGAATTCTGCTGTCTACCCAAACATCCTGGAGGAGAATATCTGCCCATCTGTCCGTGCCCTCAAGCTGAAGCGCATTTGGGTTCTGCAGCAGGACAATGATCCAAAACACACCAAGTTCACCTCTGAATGGCTTAAGAAAAACAAAACAAAGACTTTGGAGTGGCCTAGTCAAAGTCCTGACCTGAATCCGATTGTGATGCTGTGGCATGACCTTAAAAAATTGGTTCATGCTCGAAAACCCTCCAATGTGGATGAATTGCAGCAATTCTGCAAAAATTAGTGGGCCAAAATTCCTCCACAGCGCTGTAAAAGATTCATTGCCAGTTATCGCAAACACTTTATTGCAGTTGTTGCTGCTAATTGTGGCCCAACCAGTTATTAGGTTTAGGGGGCAATCACACAAGGCTATGGGGTTCGGATGTTTTTTTCCCCTTGATAATGAACACCTTCTTTTAAAAACTGCATTTTGTGTTTACTTGTGTCATCCTTTGTCTAATAATTAAATTTGTTTGATGATCTGAAACATTTACCTGTGACAAACATACAAAAAAATAAGAAATCAGAAAGGGGGCAAACACTTTTTCAGACCAGTGAACATTCAAAGCTTTGGGGCAGTTTGCAAACTCTACAGGCAATTTACAGGGTAATAGATCTGTTACATTCAAGTAAATTTGTGTGCATGTGTGTGCAGACTTGTCTCGACCTGAAAATCTCACTTCAGCCAGCTGACCAAAGTTGGCAACCCTGCAATTGTCATCATACTGTGTTTGCTATAAGGACATAATGCTTAAGAAATCCGTAAAAAGGGGGGCCAGACCTGGCATTTATTTGGAAAATACTAGTTACTCAGTTACCAGAAACTCAGAATCATTCAGTTCATAAACAGGGCTGTCAGAAAGTCCCTTTTCAATAAATCCCTTATATTTACTTGTATGAGTCGCTATTTTATGTGGTTTGTGGTTGTGCCAGTGATTCTTTCAATTAGGATGTGTTTATGAGAGAAGACAGGGTGCAGGAGAGTGACAGGGGCATCATAGTCATTTCTCCATAGTACATGGGCTGACATTCGTGGCGGAATCTCGTGATTTGTGAATATAAATAAAAATGGAAAGAATAATATCACTTTATATATTGTGACTGAAGCAGCAATAATTTACAAATAAAAAACTAACGTAAACAGCGCAATACAGTGACGTCACACCTCTCACCCCGATATACTCGCCTCCCCCAATAAGAAATCTACGTCCCAGGGTCCATGTATCTTAAGCCATGAAACAGAAAAGCTCACTTGCCTACTTCCTGTATTTCCACCCGTGTTTCACGTTGCTCCTGCTCTGTGTAAACCACACACTTGTACACTCCTGCATCTGCAGCCCTCACTTCCTCAAGCAGCAGAGAGAAGTTGCCTTTGGGGATTTCCTGAGGGAATAACTGGGCTCTGTCCCTGTAGGCATCCCCTTGTGATTCAGGTCTGCTCTGACCATCCTGGAATAGGTGCACAATAGTGTCTGAATCAGTCCTTCTCCAGTCCACCTCCAGCTCCTCCAAAGGCAGGGGTCTGTCCACAAAGCAGGGCAGCAGTACAGCTCCTCCCAGCCGGGCTGTTAGAGGACCAGCAGAGCCATGTAGCAGGAAGCCTACAAGAGGGATAACAGATATAAAATCACTTCATAAGCATTAAATAATAAGAGCAGAACGTACATTGCAACACAGTTACTTGAATATCTGTTAAGAAAATATTGGTAGATTAATTAATACACACAAAACAAGAACAACTCAATTAAATTTCTTCAACATTATTATACGAGTTACGAGATACGTAAAACTGTCTTCAAAATGTACATACCATCAGAGTTAATGACGAACTTGAACACGATCAAAATAGCGCTGAAAGTATTGATCTGCATCGCCACCTTTAGTCTTGTAGAAAGAACTGTTTCTATAAGACAAGGACAAATTTTGCTGTATATTTTTGTTTTTACAAACAGCCTATATCCGCTTTTATTAACGCTGTTATCTTCCTACATGAAATGCCATCTGGCCATAGTTTTACTTTCAGTTTACACCTGGAGCTGAAACACGCCCAACACACCTGAATTACAGCAAAGGGTGGATCGCATGGCTGTGTTTCCCTGATCAAATGCAAATCGCTTAAGTCATATGGTTAAGGGCTGATTGTTAACTTAAATGAAAACCGTGTTATAACATGCACAAAAATATACAACAACAAGGGGGTATAGAAAGCGGGCTTAGTGACGGATCCCTAATTAATACACAGAAAATATGCCAAAGTTAAATTAACACTGCATGGTGTCTATATCCTCCTGAGACCCTACCCATTCATTTATGTCTATGGTAGTGGCAAACCCGACAGGGAAAGCAAAAGCAAGCATCTTTTTTGAAGGAATATTCAAGCCAGGGTCTAGACTTATTACCACATAGCAGAGAAACATCTTCCTCTACCACCGATTTCTCGCCGTGGATAAGTTTTTATAAACGACTGGCTTGGAGATTGTCTGTTCAAATAATCGGCAACACCGCCATCACTGCGAGACAGACCAGCAACATCATCACTGCAAGAAACATCAACCGAACTAGAGTGATAGAGTCCGATCCACTAAGCTGAACATTAAAGGCTGTCACACTATCTGTGGTAGCTTTTTTCGGTACCAGAAATCTATAGATACATTTGTACGTTTCTAGCTTGTAAATTTAGGCTAACCAAAATTTAGACTAGCTAGCTAACCAGTGTGTTCAGCTAACCAATATAATTAGCTAGCAACCTATCAAAATGTCTAAATGTTTAGCTAAATAAAAGATCGAAAACTGGTACGAACAATTAAGATGTCAAATAAGATGAAAAATGGTTGTTGATATTATGTTCAGTTTATGTACAGACAACAAAGTCTCTTTGTAGATACACTTACAGAAATATATATAGTAATAACTGGGTGACTGCCGAAATGTGTACGTTAGACTCCAACGTCACATAAAAATATCAAGATTAACACTGATTGGGTGATCGTCTCCGTTCATATGAACGGTGATTGTATGTACAAGTCCAAGAATATATTTTTGTTACATTTATGCACAAATCAAAGATACATTTTTGCAAAAAATAAAACGAAAAAAGATATCCTTGGGAAAAGAACACATTTTTCTATTTCTCTTCCCCCTCTTGGCTGGGTGGGCCAGCCTTGTGATTGAAGCCGGTAACACCAGTGACTGTAACACTGTAACAGTGACACTCTAATCGCCGGTCCATGAGGAGTGAGGTGAACTTCTGCAACTATTTAAAATCAGTGATATAAAAGGTATATGGGATTATTTTAACAGAATTTCAAGTACCTAGCCATTACAGTGACGTGTACAGCCAGGACCATAAATATTTGGACAAAGTTTTTCAATTTTTAAGTTCTGTACATAACCACAATAAATTTTAAAAGAAACAAGTCAGATGCAGTTGAAGTGCAAACTTTCAGCTTTAATTCAGTGGGTAGAACAAAAACATAGCATAAAAATATGGGGAACTAAAGTAATTTTCCTACACAATCCCCTCCTTTCAGGGGCTCATAAGTAATTGCACAAATTAATATAACTGAAAATAAAATGTTCAATTCTAATACTTAGTTGAAATCCCTTTGCAGGCAATGACGGCCTGAAGTTTGGAACTCATGGACATGACCAGACGCTGGGTTTCCTCCTTTTTAATGGTCTGCCAGGCCTTTACTGCAGCAGCTTTCAGTTGCTGTTTGTTTGAGGGTCTTTCTGTCTGTAGTTTAGTCTTTAGCAAGTGACATGCATGCTCAATAGGGTTGAGATCAGGTGACTGACTTGGCCATTCAAGAATATTCCACTTCTTTACTTTAATAAAGTTCTGGGTTGCTTTTACTGTGTGTTTTGGGTCATTGTCCATCTGTATTATGAAACGCCCCCCAATCAATTTGGCTGCATTTGTGTCACATCATCAAGAAACACGAAAGACCCAGTGCCACTGGCAGCCATGCACGCCCAAACCATCACACTGCCTCCACCATGTTTTACAGATGATACAGTGGTCTTTGAATCATAAGCTGTTCCAGCTCTTCTCCATACTTTTTTCTTTCTTTCATTCTGATACAGGTTCATCTTGGTTTCATCTGTCCAAAGAATGCTCTATCCAGAACTGTGCTGGCTTTTGTAGATGCTTTTTACAAAGTCCTATCTACACTGTAAAAAAGATGTGTTTTTACAGCCAAAGTATTGCAAAAATTAACAGACAATTTCTGTTTTTTAAAAAGACATTTATAGGCCTGTAAATTATCTATTTACTCCTGTATTATTATTTTTTTTATTAGCAAAACAAAACCATACATGCACTGGCTGAAATACAACACAAAAGAAAACAAAAATTGTACATACAATTTTTTACAAATACTCCACCTCCAAATATCTGCCCCATTTTAATATGCGCACAAGTCATGAGGCTCAGAAGAGCCGCCCCAGATTTACCCACCATCATGAGAAAGACTTCCAGCTTTTTCTTGTTTACTATTGAAGCTTTGCTTGCTGGCTTGCTTCTGACTGTTGTTGGAGGTTAAAGTGCTGTGGTCATGGTGGTTCTTTTCCGTGATGTCTTGTTTTATATCATGTTGGCATAAAGTCTGAAGGGAAAAACTCTAGGAGACATATAGGGCATGTTTCCTAAGTGGTATATGTTTCAAAGGGATAGGGGTGTATTTGAGTACCCATCCTGCCCTTATATGACTAACATATGCAGAAAGGTGTCTGGACAGTTATGATACCCTTCTCTGTGCAGTTTCTGGTACCACCCATTCTGCTGTGGACCAATATTTGCATTTGTATATTTGCATAGCATGATACAGTACTGTAGGCTTTTTTTTTTTTAACCAACCATGAGGGCAACAAGCAGAGCAAGACAAAAAAAAAACCACAGAAATGGCTCTTGTGTGCTAACCAGTGACCAGACTAAATGCCTTGTAGAAGTGCATAAGCCAGAAGTACACTGTTCAGACCAACCAGCATGTAGCAACCTAGAAAATGTGGTAAAGACTAATATCAGTGCCATACCATCCTCAGTCGTGGTGGGTTTCTAAAAATGAAGTTTAATGAAAATCTGAATATTAAATGAGCAAAGTGATTTGATTTGTTCTTCTATCCAAAGTTGTTGTCTAAAAGCAATAAGGCCACCAACCATTATATCTGCTTTAGTGGAAACACACTCCAACCATTAAGGTCCTGTCCACACGGAGACGCGTTTCGCTGTATACGTAGAAATTTTTTATCGTATTGGCGTTTCGTTCACACGGATCCGGCGTTTTAGGAGACTGAAACCGCTATTTTTTGAAACCGGGTCCCAAAGTGGATAAATCTGAAAACGACACCCTTGCGGTTTCGTGTTTACAGCCAATCCGTATATTTTGTGAT